GGCTCCTGCCCGCGAGGGACCATCGGGCGAGCGTTTGTGTGTGAAAGACACGTCTCTTCCCTCGGCCGGAGCTGTAGCGGGTGTTTGGAAAAGACTAAGGAAAAACAAGAGTAAGCGCTGGGGATTAGGGCTTCTTTGAACTCCCGCCATCCCGTGCCAGCCTGGGCGTCCGAGGATGGTTCGGTTTCAGCATTGCCCGCACGCACTCGTCCTACAGTAACTACAGTTTTTACACGGTCTCTTTAAATCAGAGGCACGCTACGCTAAACGGTGAGCCAGTCCCTTCAGTGCCTCAGCAGTGCCGCAACGAGGCGGCCTCTCCCCAACGACACCATTTTCCAGGCCTCTGCTGTGATAGGCGCCGGTGGGGCTAAACATGGGTCCTGTGAACTCTGGGCATACGGAGGCCTAGGGAACTTGGTGCATTTCATGAGAACTAAATACAAAAAGTATCTGGCAAAAATAATTGTCTGCGGGAAAAAGTACTGCACACAATTAAAAAAAAAAAAAAGCATCGGGACTGCAAAGTTATTAAACGGTTCATCCTATCTTTAACAGCTGGTTTCAAAAATAAATTCTGCACCTGAATACAAAAGTTCTCATTTCACTAGACAAAGAAATCGGAGAATCGGGGTGTGCACGTGCTGTATGTTATTCTTCCACAGATTATATGTGCAGAGATCCCTCTCCCATGCTCAGAGGCTGCCTGGTTTGTCTCAGTGGAGTGACACGGCCGCAAAGCTTCAGGATCTCAAGATATGAAAGATGCAGCATTTTGACCTCTGCACAGTGGTGGTAGCGATTTAGGAAGTGGCATTTGCTAACGTATGCAATTTTGGAGTGTGAAGTAGATCAATGAGTATTTTTAGAGGAACATGTTTTGAATATTGTGATTGTTTTGGGTTCCATGTAAAGGAATCCTTAGGAAAATATAACTCCTGCTACCGTATCTTCTTGGCACTGCACGATTAGGACGCAAAGCAATTTAGTATGAAAAGCAAGCATCTCAGCGTGGGGACGGGACCTGCAGAGGGAGGGTAGTGCTCCTGGGGGCTCCATGCCGCCCCCACCCCGCGGCGGCAACTGCCGTTAGGACCGTTAGCACCGCGCGACCACCCGTCGCCCTCTGCTCCCGCCAGAGAAAGGACGCGACCCCTAATCCCGCCCCTGGGCCTGCGACGTACCAATCAGGAGAGAACATGCTGCGCTAGCCTGACCGTGATTGGACGCCACTCTGACGACACCTGCCGGAGCCCCCCAGCCTGGCAGGGGGCAGCTGCGGGGGGGTCACCGGAGGAGTGCTGGGGCTCATAGATGATAACTGTTAATCAGATGCTAAGCATATTAATCAAATATTTTTAAGGTTGCATTAGTGTGTCTTGTGTACTGGAAAACATGTAAGTTCTGCATCCCTTTGTGGCTTCTTTCTATGAGGTCAGGACTCGATTATGATAAAGGGCTCCTTGAAATCTTACTTCTGGCTAGGAGTAATCCTTACGAATCTTCATGACCGCGCTGTGGTGGTAGTTTCCTTACTGCTTTCAAAAGATGTTTTCACAAGTATGGGCGGATATACTGGAGTGAAGGATTGCAGTAAGGGATAGTCTGGATATGTGATAGGAGCACAGTTCTAGAGCCGTTCCAAGTAGCACTGTGACCCACGGGGAACTCCTCCCATGCTGCTGCATTTGAGATAGGTCTTATGGACAAAAATATATTGACATTGTCTCTTACCCTCAGAGTAGCTCTGGAAAAGAAATAAAGTGACTTAAAGCTACCTTAACCTCTGCAGTTAGGATGCAAATTCTGTAATTCTGCACCTCTCGGAGATGCAGCAAAAAAACTCATGGTACTTTTTCATAATTCTATCTTGGCCAACTTTGTAAAGAATTAATTCGTGACCATCAACAATCACATGAATTCAAGAGATTGTGCAGCTTAACAAAGTCTTATCCAAGCTTAGGTTTATAATTAAGTCCCAATCAAATTTTCATTTGTTTGAGAAACTTAGTTTTTATTGCTGTGCAAGACAAACATTTTCTAAAACTGTTGAAGGAGATGATAAATGTGACCAATAACAGTGATCTGTTCTATGTCGTGCAAATTGCTCTCTCTTATTTTTTCTCATAGGTGAAAATGGGTGATATTGAAAAAGGCAAGAAGCTCTTTATTCAGAAATGTTCTCAGTGCCACACAGTTGAAAAAGGTGGAAAGCACAAGACAGGCCCAAATCTTTGGGGTTTGTTTGGCCGCAAAACAGGACAAGCTGTGGGATTTTCCTACTCAGATTCTAACAAGAACAAAGGTAAAACTAACAGGTGACATGGATGAGGCGCAGTGCTAGAGGGAAAGTATATGGAAAGTAGCCTTTTTCTTCAGAGGTACAATAGAAAACCGTAAGAATTACTCTTGCAACCATCTACATTGCAGTACTGTAGATGAATCTGAACTGTAGTTTCAGAAGCAAAATTACTCAGTCCTTAAATTAAAAAGAAATTTTAGGAATATCTAGCATGTCGGGTCAGAACGTATGCATCTTTTACGTAATTTTGTAGTATTAATGCACAGATTTTCATTTCTGTTTAAGACCGCTTTTAGATTTTGTTTGCTGGTCACTACCCTCTACTGGCATTGTGCTGTGCTGCAGTTTTACTCAGCAGCACTTGACAAAATACTGTCATTGATTAAAACGTTATTACTTGTTTGTGTACTTTTAATACAGACAATCCTGAAAGGCAATGAGACATCTAAAAATAATTCTGTATGTTCATTTTGGGGGTTTCCTTAGTTGGGATTTTGGTTTGTTCATTTTTATTTATAGTTTTTGAATCAAGCTGTTAATTGCAAATACAGTCCTGGGGTTTTTTTTCAGTTACTGAGGTGTTTTAAGAATTCACTGACTCTGATTTTGCTATGATTTCTAGGAGATATTTTTGTAACATTCACTTTACCCTGGATCTTCTCTCATACAAAAAGCCATACACTTCAACATACGCAGACTGCTTTTTTTCTCTTGAAATATTTAATGAACAAATAATACAGATGATAGTACAAGTATTTAAAAGAGAGACAACAATGTGATATCTAAATCCACATTAGACAATGGGAAGAGTCCACTCTTGAGAACAGAGGATGAACTTGGGCATGTTGTTACTGTTAGATACTTCAGTAGTCCTCAGTACTATAGGTGGTAGGCTTCTGTTGATAGAGACAGGATTTAGCAGGGCTAGAAGGAAGCAATAATGTTTTCTTTAATCTTCTGGCAAAAGATTCCAGAAAGTGGCCATTGACAACCCTTTTTCTAAGGCCCTTTGGTTAAGTACAGCCTTGATGAACTTAATGTTAATATGCAGGTTCTCATTTTCAGCGCTTTGAAAGTGTTTTATTTGAAGTTTTATTTGAAATGGTACAAAGAATTGCAACTCTTCACGATGCAAAAAGTATTATGTTATTTATATGATCAAGCTATGAAAGTGACTCCAAGGCAATGTATAAATTGTGCATTAAATGGATGCTGAAATATGAATTAAAGGTTGAAAACTTTGTTATGTATCATTCACTCTCACATGCCTCTTGGATTCTAGGCATATTTTGATATATAAAAGGTTCGGGGCGAGTCTTGCATTTTATTGTGCTTGTTTTTTTAGGTATTATCTGGAGTGAAAATACACTGATGGAGTATTTGGAAAACCCTAAGAAATACATTCCTGGAACAAAAATGATTTTTGCTGGCATTAAAAAGCAGAATGAGAGAGCTGATCTTATTGCATACTTGAAAAAAGCAACCTCATCTTGAAACATTGCAGCAGCAGCTGTAATGTCAGTGAAAAATGTTCTGAAGTTTGACTACCTCTTGATCTCAAGTTTTAGTATTTTATTGTTAATTGTTCATTAGGGACTGGCCTTAGCAAAATCAAATAAAGGTATGTTTTAACATGCTAAGTCCTCCTAACAAACACAACCAGGAGGTGAGCATTATTTATATGGTGTTACATATTTTATAAATCTTTGTGGAGTGTACTATAGAAAATACCGTTCCTTTCTCTAAGGAGATCTGAGAGCTCGATTCTGCAACTAGCTATTACAACACTCATTGAAACTATTGTGATTGTTCAGTTATGGCTATGTATATAGTTATGCAAATAGGAAACTGCCTGTAAGTATTAGGGCTGACAGCTAAATGAAGAGGGTTTTTTTTTGGGGGGGGGGGGGGCCCCTCAGCATATCAGCTGGGAATAAAGGTATTCAGTAGATGACAGACAACGGTCTTATTTTAAGAGAACACTACATAAGGATGATGGGACTGGGATACCAGGAATATCAGGTATTTTTAGGGGACAAGTAACCTTTCAGCAGTGATGGTCTGAAAGAATCATGAGGAGGTATTTGAATACCTATGACCTTTTTGTTTTAAACATACAAGACCACTCACTGCATTATTAGCGTTCCTTTGTGTATTGAAACAGCATCTGCCAGCCAGGAGTCTTTTATAGTTTTGGATTTTTTTCACCAGTTGAGTCAAATATATTCAGGTATCCATATCCTTTTAGGTGTAGAATGAATGAGGGCTGACTAGCTTAAGCAACCGATATTAGTAATAGATATTTTCACCACGGCTTGATGAAGGTGATTATAGTCCTCCTAAAACCTCCTCATAAATCTCTCCTCTACCACTTGAACTGTGATTTACAAGTAAATTCTCCGTTTCACAAATGTTATAGGTTGAAATATACTTCACTCAACCAAGGTTTCCTTAAGTCATTGCAGAAAGGAGCACTGCTACAAAACTGATTTGCTGTACTGTCATATCCCAGGTACTCATTTTACCTGTATTGTTCCAATGCTTACCCACTAGGGGTTGTAACAAATTGTGTCTTACCGTGCTCCATAGAGGTGAACTTCTGTTTTTAAATAAGGGAATAAGTGAAAGTCAGGTAAAAAGTTATGTGATACAACTGGATGGTTACCTGCTTTTTTTCTTCTGTGCTGAGGCTATAAGCTGTTTTCCCCTTTCAGTTTTCTAGTTAGGACCTGTTCTATAGACTGTTTTAGACAGTTGAAGTAAAGCATCTGCCTGAATGACGTTAACATTTTCTCAAGTGCTTGTAAATATATTGCTTAAGTTGCATTTTGAAGAGAGCTATGCCACTGCCTTCCTGAATAAAGTAGACTGCCTGCGAAATGCATTGACATTTCTGCTTGTGTTACTCTATGACATTGTCTAGGTATGTTTTATGACTTAGGAGACCAGCTAAGTCTGATTAAAGCTTGCCTTGCTCTCTGAGTTGGCATTGCGCATCCGCACAGATATAAGGTGCCTCATATATAAGATGCATCGAATACGAGCTGCCTGTACCTCAGTGCAGCGTACCTGTAGAATTATGAAGGTAATGCAGAATCCATCTGCCTCTGGCCCTCCCACAAAGGACTGCAGCTAATCTATCTCACGCTCACGCATGAAGCTGCAGCCCAGAGTACATATAGCGTACTTGGTGTACTCACCCTGCAGACAGAGGTAGGCTCTGACGTGTGGCAGAACGCAGGCAGACCTGTTTTCTCCTTGCAGCATCCCTTGAAGCACACCTGAAGCCCAGGCTTCTGAGGCAGGTTTAACTCTGACTGTGTGTCGTGGCCATGCTGAGTGCCCAGAACAGGCAAATCACTAAGATCATCTTTGTCATGTTTTATCTTTAAAAAAAGGATTATGGTTTGAACACAGACTGGGAGCTGTTGAGGGAAATAAGTAAGTAAGGCGTTACATCAAAACGTTCAGTATATACTTTATACAATAGAGACAAGTGTTTTTTTATTTCCTTCAGTCTTGATTCTGCTATTTGAGAGACTGTCAATATGCAGATTTTTGCTGTCATGAAAGCCTGTGCTTATAAAATGCAGCAAATAAACTGTAAAGCTGTCATAAGACTTTATGATGAAATTATAAGGGAAAAGCTTGTTTATACCTAAGCTTACAGAGAAAAAAAACTAAATTGCTTTGTCTACAAACAGAATTGCAGCACAGTAACCATTTTGGAGTAAAGCGCTGGTGTGAATGCTAAGGCCAAACCTTACTGCAGTGAGATGGTAGAAATTATTTCAGGTAACAGTAAGTGTAGATGACCAAGATCCTTGCATGAGAGATTGGGGTCTGTGCCTGCCTGGCATTCTGGAGTTTATGCGATTTCTTTGTGGAAGTGCAATGTTGCAAAAAAAAAAAAAAAAAACCAAATACCAGGGGA